ACTAATTTGACTAGAAATTTCATGTGGGCACATACTTTGAAGAACAACAAAACGCGTACAAAGCAGTCTGTCTTAACAACAGTACATGACAGCTCATTCTGAAACGCACTTTTCTTAAGATAATATGTGAAACTATGCATAGATCTTTTTTTCCAACTTGTCCCAAGTAAATTAGTTTCTCAAAAAAAAAAAAAATTCACCTTTTTTTGGCTTTATGAAGCTTTGGCTTCAACTGAAGTTAGTGAATGCTCTGAGTGTATTCCAGCTAATAAGGTTTTTAACTCCCTGTGCATTTGTGTTTCACTTTGAAATAACCTTTATCAGATGAGCTCCAGGCATCACTAAAGCAGAGTGAACTGGTTGCATAAAACTTCAAGTTTAGTTCCTCGCGCCACTGGCCATGACAGTAGTATAATAACCAATACATAGAATAAAGAATTTTCCTATCTTCAGAAGATCCTCCACATGCATTGTGGAACAAATTCCTACTAATTAAAATTTGTTCCATGGGAAGGGTGGAAGAAGAAGTAGAGTATTCAAATATTTTGAAAGATATTTAATTTCTTTCTTTCAACCAGCATTCAGTGCCCAGACAATGGTCTAGACGGATGTGTGCATTTTGTTTTAAGGATGACATGCTGTACAGTCACATGCATCTGTACATATGGATAAAACCAAAAGAGAAAATACTAAGTGAAACTAAACGTGAACAAAAATATCACAGACTTCCCTAGTTCTCACTGTGAAATGAAACAGGAAAAGGAAACAACAGGTAGTGAAGACAATAAGTCAAATAATTAGCATGCTCTTATTTTATAATTAGAAAATTAACATTACATAAAGTAAAAAATGTGTGTTTCTGAAAGGGTGTCTTCTTCCATAGAGGATCCATAAATGATACGTTGTTACTTTTTGCAATCTCCAGGAGAAAGTACTTCACACTGAAACAATCAGACATATTTTTCTCCAATTTCAGTATGTTGTCTTCAGTCAGAACACCAATATGTGTCATGGTGCACACAAGACCAGCTGCACCCACATTTAAACATCTCCACGCAACTCCACACGCTCAGATCGAGCTTTTGCACTCCAACTGTCTCGTTTTGTAATAACGATTGCACCCTTTAGTCTACACCAAGAGCAGTTAGGCCTGTCTGGATGAGCAAAACAACCACATTCTGTGGTCTCAACCTCAGTAAGAATCCCTGTCAAAACACAAGCTAACATATTTGCACATTAACCAGCCAGGTTTAAACCTTGGCTTCCTACAGCCCACAAGAAATGGCCCAGGGTAACGTGTCTAACATTTCTCAGTTCTACAAACGCAAAGCATGATATAGTTACTGACAAAACCTTTCTGTTTTCAAAAGGTCCACCACATACCAAAGACAAACAAGGCAAAACAAAGGATTATTAGTCTTCTTGAAAATAACAACATTTGACAACAAAAATAAGCTTAGAAACAATGCTCAGCCCAGTGTTACATTGACTTGCTCTCTTGCTTCTGTACACTTCTGTCTGGGCAATTATTCTTCATTTAAGGTGTTCTCTCACGCTCCCTGAAAGTTTGCTTTAATAAGTTGCTATTTAATAGCATTTAGACCAAGAAAAGCAAAATAATTTGTATTTTATAGTGAGCTGCAAGCCACTCAATACAATTCATTATAGCACAAATTCTCTTAAGAGATGCTTCAGGTCAACTCTATGTTTTTGCAGTGCTGAATGCCACTCATGTACCCAACAAATAATCACGCAAAAGCACATTATAGCACTACTTTACTGACTAGCACAAGGCAGTTAGAATAAATACATAGTATTTTGCAACCCAATAGCCAGGAGCTTGCAATTTACAGTCCATCAATATTGAACAACTTTTTATGTAAGCACTAATCTTTGTTATATATGCATGAGTAATAGCTTTATTTCTCACACAGATAGCCCTAACTTTAGAAGGATTTATTTATTTTTCTATAAGACTTCATAAAATAAAATGTACGTTTCCAGAATAAAATCTCTTTCACATTAAATACTCCAAGACTTCAGAATTTAAAACTAAGATGCTGAACTGCCTTCATCAAGTATTTTAACCTGTTACCTAACATGAAATTGCCTTTTACAAGAAGTATTGATTTAGGATAAGCCAACGTAAATTGCAACAATGGAAATTCTGGCTAGATATGAGACCAAAAAGGAGTTCACAGCAAGGATAGCAAAACGTAGGATGCCTAGCAAAACTGCAAAATCTACATCCCTGGAGATATGGACAACTCGGGTAGGTAGGGTGCTGAGTGAGTTGATGTCTCTTGAAAATTGTGGCCTGCATTTGAGCAGGAGTTTGACAATATGGCCTCCTAAATTATTCTATAATTGTATGTCAATGTAGGGGATGCCCATAGGCACACAGTAAGTATATCCACACCAGATGTCTTACTATCTGCTTGCTGGTTTTCATCTTACAGAAAGGGAGAGCAGAACATGACTGGATGCAGACGTAAGATCACTGTGCCTGAGATATGATGGACTCAGCTTTAAAAAGCAGACACGCATCATTTTTTCTCAGTTTAACAGCGAGCCTAATTCTCACTATTAAACAACTGCAACCATTGCAAGGGCATTTTATTCCCCTCAGCTCTTCCGGACATACAGCCTGTCCTGAAAGCAAGGAGCGGCAGAGAATCCATGTTCACAACGCACCTACTGACCATCACGCAAGCACAGCTCTGGGATGCTTTCAGCTACCTGAAAGTGGTTTGATAGAAGACATTTGAGAACCAAGAGGCCACATGACAGAGTCAAGCAGCTGAGTCACACAGCAGGACTGGAGATTTTTGTCCCTACTCCCAAGACAGCATGTGCATTTTTCAGCAGAGCAGCAGGCACAGCATGTACAACGCTTGGGCAAATTTTGAATGGGAAGTACCAGATGAAGAGGTCACACCAGATAGAGATAACACCCAAGATATTTTGAATTCAGAAAGAGCCACAGTCTCCTGCAGAGAGCATAGAAGCTGCTGAAGACAGTGAGCGGTACCATACTTCTCTGAAAGGCTGCATCAGCCAAGTTGTGGGATGTTCCTACCAGCTCATTTTGCTTCTAAGTTGTGAAGAAGAAAAACAAATAAATAAATCCAACACTTCAGTGACAGAGAGTTGTCAACACCCTCAAGAACTATGACCACTAGGTCTCTCATTCATCTCACTTGAGTGCTATAAGCATTAATCCTCTCCACTTTCACTCTCTCAGAGTCAGGTGTTCTCTCGTCTGTTAGCCTTTGGCCCTTTGCATTCCTGGACACGTTAAGGCCCAGCCTAAAAACAGCGACGGGGTGCACTTCCTGCTAGGACACTGAAAGGTAAGAGCAGGTAAGAGCTTGCTCTCAAGCTGTAGGTTCAGATCCAGTCAGGCTGTAGAGGACCTAAATGCAGAGCTTCCACATTCTGAACTCCAGTTTCCATCTCCATCACTAGTTCTGGTCAGAAAAGGCATTGGTGTTTGGCAAGAGCACCCTACCTGATACAGATTTAAACTGTTCCCAAAGGCTGTCACAGATGGCTGCCTAAGTGTGTTTGCTTGTGCAGCCCAAATCAGCATTTATCTGTCCCCACCTGCAATGGGGGGACTCCAGCTATGGTAGAGAGCAAAGGAACCTGATCATTTGTCCTGGTGACACAAAGTTGATCCACAAAAAAAACTAAAATGGAAAAGTTCTATTTAAGGCATCTTTGAAAAATAAACAGAAAGAAACTAATTCTAAATCTTCATTGAAATTCCAAACTCACTTCAAAAAATGAATGCCTATTTTCCCTCTAGTGATTGTGTTATTCATGGTGCTACTGAGCAAACAACTTTGAGCAAGTTCCTCCTGAACCAGTCCTAATTTATCTCATCTATACGTGGTTTCCCAGAGTTAAGTGCAACTCAAATGCTGCATCAGCAATGTGAGAATAAAAATTTGAATAGTCTTTCATAAGCAAATTCAAAACTAAGTAAAAACTCAAATCAAAGCACAAGTTCAAGATACCATTAAAAACAAACTAAACTTAATTCAATAAACTATTTCCCATAACCTAATTTAAAATTTCAAACAAACCTCAAAAGAGAGGAATATATCTTCTACAAAATGTTCTGCTGACTTTAAAAAAAACCTGTATAAATTAGCACACGTGAGCAGCCATTTCTCATGAATGTTAATATAACCAAGCTAAAGCCAACAAACATGAAGAGAGTAAAAAAAAAATGCAAGCAACTTAGTTACTGCTTATCTGGAAGAAATGCAAGCTAGGATAAATGGGAATTTTATTTTGTCCTGGTGACACAGCAGCAGTAACACTTTCCAGGTTTCACCACCAACATTCCATTGACTGCCAGTACAGTTTAGGTCGTGGGTGCTTCTATTGTTTTTGTAAATAAGGTTATTTACAACAGGTCACCAAGAGTAGCTACTTTCAGTTTAAAGGAACCATTTAACTCCAAGATGCCTCAAAATTCTTCATGCTGCATCCCCTCCCCGCATTGCCCAAGTCCACTGTCTAACACTCATCACATCAGTTTTTCTTATGATTGGAAGTTCACTGAAGCAACAAGTATCTCAAATATTTATTTGGATGGTGCCTAGTACACACTTTCAGGCTGTGAAAAATATTTTGTAATTACTGCATTAACAAGGTGGGGAAAAAAAATCCACTGGCTAACAAGAAACAGTTTAAATTGGTGATAGGTATTAACAGCTGACGGATACATATATTTCTGTAGGTGGCTCTCTATCATAAAAAAAAAAAAATTAATCAGGTCAAGACCTTCAAATAACTACAAATTCTTCCTTCCTGAGGAAGTATATTGATATTAGAACTTCAGCATCAGCTCTTCAAAAATTTAAGGTGTCTGAATCCAGCTAATTAGCTGGCACAATTACTAAGAAAACAACTGACAGCCAATTCAACACCACAATAGGTAAGATACAAGACTTTACAGCACTGACAACATATTGAAATTTAAATACCTCTTTATTGTCCCTGGAAGATCCAGACTGAATGGAATTTGATAGGAGTATGCTAAAGTGTCATCCACAGCCTTGCTTATTTCCTGAAGTTCTCTCAAAGAAACACAGCCAAGTAAAGCAGTCAGTTCACAGTCCTGTGACTGAATAAGACTATCTTGTTCTTCAATTTCTCTTCTTAGCTGTTGATCTTTTGCTTCTAATACAGCCAGTCTTGTTCTGAGGTCTTCAATTTCTTTCTGCACAAAACGGAAACCTGAGTTTACCACAAACTCTGTTAATGAAACCCCTCCGCCCCTAGAAAAACACAGTACCAGTCTCAGAATTAGCATGAATTAAGGTTGTCCAGTTTTGTACAATACTAAATGAAAAGAGATTCTCTTATTGACGCCCAAAAATCCTTTTCTATTTAAAAACTTTTTCTATTTAAAAACTCTAGTGCTTCCACGGTCTGGAATCCACCACCTCCATTCCAACACCAACTCTCAGTCACCTTTTACCTTTAAAACACACAGATATTTCCCAAGTTAAAAACTTCGGGGAGGAAAAAAAAACCAAACCAACCTAACTCAGTTCAACCATGACAACAGAATCTTGATACAGATTGGCAGCTAAAGTGACCAACCATCTACCTGTCCTCCTGCAGAATATCCCTGCAATGGCTCCTCTATGCTTCCAATCCAACATCAGGCACGGGATGCAAGTGCTGAATTGCTGACTGTCTAGCCAGTCTTTTTGATCATTAATATTTAATCTTTATTAAAAGCACAAAATCCCTCTCTTGACTCAAAAGGTTACATTCATCTTATCAGAAGTTCAAACCTCATGCATTATGATAATAATTTTTCCTTGAAAACCCAACAGATAGCTCGCGCCCATGGAAGGAGCACTTTGTGAAGGAGTTTGGGTTGCTGAGTTAATAAAGTTCTTTATTATATGGTCCTGGGCTCATCTGAATTTGAATAGTGAATAAAACAAAAAAAACACAACAAGAACAACAAAAACCAAAGGAGAAGTGCTTGCTGAAGTAGCTGAGTGCCATACTGGAGAATTTGATTCTATCACCCACATTTCTTAAATGGCTTGGAAAGTTTCACAAGACCTGTAAGTTATTATCTCCACACATAGCTCACAAATCCATGCTTTGACCATATTCACTTCAGCTATAAAGAGAAATAACAAAAAAAAAGAAAAAACACAAACCAAAACCTTTCTTGGGGTAAATAACTAGCCATTACAAAACTGACATTACAAACAACCACGTAGCTTTTTATGGCAATTCACTTTTTCATTCTCTATCTGTAAAATGGCAACAAGTATATCTCTTCAACCAAAACAATGTAGCAGAGATAAAATTAAGCAATTCTGAATCACTCAGAAGCCATGCTAATTAATGCCATAAAAAGAGTCTATTCACAAATTAATAAATATGCATTCAAAAGAGCGTTTGAGTGGCATACAGTAAAAGGGTTCTGGGGCCAAAGACTGAGTAATGATGATAAAACTATTCTAAATACCTAAACAAGAACTTTCTATCTTCAGTCATCTTTCAGGGAAGCAAAAAAAAAAAATAAAAAATAAGAAAATAAAAGAAAGACATGCTCATATAATCCCAGACTCTCCTAAAACATAACTACTAAGCACAGATAAACAACTTTGGTGTTTCTTTGCTTTTTGAATCCTTCACTTTGAAGCTTTAACATTCTTCTAATGTTTTTAACGTAATTTAAGTGAAGTCTAGTTCACTAATGTTCGTTTTGTCAAGAAACATACTTTCAGGTTTGCTGCACTGTAACAAGCTCCCCAAGTACCATTTAAAACAAGAAGAAACAGTCCTTGCATGTTAAAAGGTTGACTGACTCAAAAATTTCAACTTGTATCAGTGCTGCGCATCAGACTCATCAACTATTTTCCTCCATTTTTGGTTTTAGATTTAGTGACAAGAGAACAGAGTGGCCCATGTTTCAACCCACAGGCACTTGTAAAGGACAGAAGGGTTATCAGGCTAAAAACATCAGTTCTGCTTCTTCTAGTCTCAAGCTGGGCTTTTACCATGCACAAAGGACAATTCTGTCTCTGTGTTACTGGTTTGGGAATACTGCCAAAATCTTAATAGGCCCTACTTAATACAAAGACCTTCATATTCTGTGAAAATGTAGTAATTGCAATCACTGCAATAAGCAGCCTACATGGGAACAGAAAGGGAGACGAGCTGAAATTGGTTGTACAAACACATTTAGTACTGAACTGTTTTTACAACATAAATAGATACCACAAGCACACAGTCTGCATTTACAGGGAGAGAACTGTTCTGCTTTGGAATACTTCACAGGCATTCTTGGGAGAATGGAAATTTTAGTCAGTAAACGGGAATTCTCCCACCTTCTTTTCCAGAAATGCCAAGAAGCCTTTAATGTGCTCTTGGTCGGCCTCCAGGGACAGATAAAAGGGACTTAAAGTCTCAGCATGGAGCAGCAGAAGATATTCAGCTCACTAAACATAAGCCAGAGTTTTACTTTGTGGATTTGAGTTTAAACTGAGAGTTCTAACATAACAGCTAATCAGTACTGACTGTAAAACTCCAGCTTCACTTATGGGTTGGTGTTCTCCATGAAGTACAGATTGCAGCAGAAACATTAATATGTAAATTTTTGATACTATCACAGGCTCTTAAATCCCTGAAAACAAATGCAAAACCAAAAGGAGAGAGAGTAGTAGGAAAAGGAAAGGAAAGTAGGGCTGAGGAAAAAAAAATAATTTAAAAAACATCATTATTTCAGATCATGAGAGATTTATGGCAGGAATAATCCTTAAGGGATGCTAGGAGCAATAAAACATCACAGGACAGCCTCCTCCAGAACCTTAAATTCATGAAAATTTCCTTCAAATGCTCATAATTAGTATGTCTGTATGACAGTGTGGCTAATCTGTCCTTAGTATAACTACACAGGGACAATGATTCACCTGGAGCAAGTATAAGAACAGTGGCTGGCGTGGAGACTTAAGTACACCAGTTTTCAGTTGAATTTCTTGAGGCAGCTGGCTAGATGTCTGGATTACCAAAAACAGTATTCTGGACACTAATAACATTGAACTACACTATGTCTCCTCTTATTAAATAAATCTAAACAATACAAAGGTGATGACTAGGACAGAAAAGACATTCGTTCATCCAAATAAGATTTTGCAATGGCCATCTGAGATGCTTTTCTCTAGTTATTTTTGGGGTATATATATCTATATATATTTACACGTATACAAACACAGAGATGATCATACTGTAAGATCCACCAAAGGAAAAGTATCTAAAATAATGAGATTTCAAGACAAGACCACAGAAAAAAAAAGAAAACTAGACCTACCAGCTCTCTAAGATGCCAAGTGTGATTACTAAGATTTAAAAAGAGGCAAAGCAAAAACTTGTACTAGACAGTAAATAGAGATTTTTGAAGGAAAGTGAAAAGAAAGAGCTACATTTTACTTAAAAGGCCTGCAGTTTTCAAACTGGACAGAAGCCATCTTAAAACCATTCCATTTGCCATATTACCATGTTGTGGCATTACACGCCAGTGTAAAGTTATTGTTGGCAAATGCTAACTGCTCTGGGACGATTCCTTCATCCTTACGAAATGCATCAATCACTTTCAGGAACAAAAGGTGGCAAATCATGTATTTACAGGGAATTCTAACCAGAAATGGATGAAAACCTTTTGTCTTTAACAAAAATTTCTGAAGATCAGTGAAATATTAAAATGGCAAATTAAAACATAAAGAGCACGCTTAAAAAGATAATGAGGAAAGTTAAAGCACACACACAAGCCACCGAGCCTTCCAGTTCCTTAATGAGATTAACACAACTCCTGTGGCTGCCATCTCCAATCATCACTTAGATTAGCAACTGGACTACAGCCAAGGCTCTAATTGCTGCACAGAAGCAAAGCCACTACTATAATAAATTTATTTAATTCTGTGTGACTGCTTACAAGCTTTGCCCTACACAGCACTGGTTCTTAGAGACAATTTTGCAGTCCAGTTACCTGCAACCATTTCTTTTCCTGAAAAAGTTGGTTTCGTTTTGTGGCTGAAACTTGCATCCTCTCCTGGTAAGTGGACTTCAAAAGTTTATGTTCATTTTCATGACAAAGCTGGGTTTCTTCATGTCCAATCCTTTGGAGAAAAATGAAAAAAGCTAAAAATTAGTATTAACATAGAGTATCAACATCTCAAAGATTAAACAGATCACAGTGCTACATGTTACCTTCAGAATCACAACACTTCATAGCCAGAATGATTACATCTTAAATGGATACAGTCAGAGAACAAGAGATTTTTCTTTGGCATATCTTCCTTTATTATCTCAAACATTTACACTGTTTTTACAACATGCTGAAGAAGGAAAAAGGAAAACTTGTATAGCTTCAGGCTTCCCCCAGCTTTTTCAGAAATTTATCATCACTGCTTTGGAAGAGAGAAAACTAAGGCATGTAATTTCTATCAATACAGAGAAAAATCTATCCGAGACATAAGTTTAGAAACTTGCCAAAGTCATTTTTGCAGCTTCTGTCAGCTTTTGGAGACTACATTAGAGATCATCTGGAGTGTTTGCTCCGCGATGCCAAATGTTACTTCTCTCTTGAACAGCGAGTTCTTTCAAAATCGCAGTCAGTGGGATTCCTCACAGTGGTGGGTACAATCCTCAACTGTAAATCTTTGCTTGATTGGGCCCCAAGGTAATCAGTGCATTACATCAAGTGTTAAGTCTATAATCAGCCTCTCAAAATGCACCTGCAAACAATGCAAACATATTTTGTCTTGCATGTTCCTGTAGAAGGGCATGCAAGCTTGCAAGGTCAATGGCATTTCTGTGTCCAGAGAGTCACAGAGTGGTTTGGGTTGGAAAAGACCTTAAAGATCACCTAGTTCCAAGCCCCCTGCCATGGGCAGGGACACCTCCCTTTAGACCAAGTTGCTCAAAGCTCGATCCAGCCTGGCCTTGAACACTGCCAGGAACAGGGCTTCTACCACCTCTCTGGGCAACCTGTGCCAGGGCCTCACCACCCTCACACAAAATCATTTATTCCATTTACCTAATCTAAATCTACCCTCTTTCAGTTTGAAGCCATTTCCTTCTTGTCCTATCACTACACTCCCTGACAAGGAGTCCCTCCCTTTCTTTCTTGTAGTACTGGTATCCCCAGAGCCTTCTCTTCTCCACACTGAAAAATCCCAACTCTCTCAGCCTGTCTTCGCAGAGGAGGTGTCCAGCCCTCTGATCATCTTCATGGCCCTCTTCTGGACTTGCTGCAACAGGTCCATGTCCTTCTTATGCTAGGGGCTCCAGAGCTGAACACAGTACTCCAAGTGGGGTCTCACAAGAGCAGAGTAGAGAGGGAGAATCAGCAACTTCAACCTGCTGGCCATGCTTCGTTTTGATGCAGCCCAGGATACAGCTGGCCTTTTGGGATGCCAGCACACATTGATGGGTCATATTCAACATCCCCAAGTCCTTCTCTGCAGGGCTGCTCTAAATCCATTCACTTCTCAGCCTGTATTTGTGCTTGGGATTGCCCCAATCCAGGTGCAGGACCTTGCTCTTGGTCTTGTTGAACTTTATGAGGTTTGCAGGGCCCCACCTCTCCAGCCTGTCAAGGTCCCTCTGGATGGCATCCTTTCCCTCCAGGGTGTCAAATGCACCACACAGCTTGGTGTCAGCAGCAAACTTGCTGCGGGTGCCCTCAATCCCACTGTCCATGTCACCGACAAAGATGTGAAATGGCACTGCTCCCAATACCAGCTCCTGAGGAAAACCACTCTTCACTGATCTCCAGTCTACCTCTAGAGACAAGTGCGTGCATTTCCACATAAACGGTACAGACACATTTCAATATCTCATTTAAAAAAATACTCTGTCTCAAACAACAAATGTTTTTGAAGCATGATTTCCCATTGTAATCTTGCAAAGCAAATACATCCGTGCCACAGACAAAGCATGCAACACAAGTCTGGTTTAAGCATGATTTATCACACAGTTATGATCTCCATGCACAGCTCTTTTACAAATGTGTAGAACAAGGGTTCCTGTCTCTTCTGCAGGATCATCAGAAGACACACATGCTTTACTCCCTCTCTATGGGCTGAAGAACATACTGAAAATACAAAATAAAACCCTGGCACTAAAATAAATATAGTTAATACTTAAACAACAACAACAAAAAACAGACATAATGACAGTGTAACTGTATTTCTGTAACAAAAAAAATGGGTCAAAGTGACACCCACATTACAAGGTGCTAGGACACCATCACCGTGCATGTGCCTTACAAACATTATGGATTGCCGTGGCTCTGACCAACCATATTTTCTGGCAGCTCTGAAGCCACCTCCTTTAATAAGATCTGCACCTTTCTGAGAGCTCTATGCAATAGAAATAGAGTGGTTGGTCAAGATTTAGGAAACATTCCGCATAGGAACATAGGTTATTCTCAGAACCTCCTTGGATATCCCACGGACATCTGCCTACCTTGGACTGAGGAAAGAGAAACAAGATTTCTCTGATCTCCCCAAATCGGGGTGATTGCAGAAACACAGTTATTGTTTCCAAACTAAATACAACCAGACCTGGCTTCTACCAACTGCCAACAATATCCAGTGTCAACACCAAATGCATTCGCCTAAAAACTCATCTCATAATTTAATCAAATAAAACAACACCAAGGCATGAATTTCAATCTCATGTATTATACAGTCTACCATAACCTTTAAAATAAAAAAGTGTGTCTTTATCTGCAAAAAAAAATGAGAAAGGCTTATCTACAGTAAAACAACAATGATCTGTTCTTCTGGAGCTAGTCTGATCATCTTTTTAATTTTCCAGGTGAAAAAAGGAAATATCAGGTATATTGGCTTTTTTCCAATTCAGAATGAAAATAAACCCTGAAACCTACAAATTTTACTTGAAATAGTCATGTTTTCCACCCTGTACTATCCAAAAATACTTTTGCAACAGTAAAATTTTGAACACAAAGGGCACGCGTGCTGCATCAACAAGAGAGTCAGACCACAGACAAAGTGGTGTGAAAGGCTACAAGCATCAAGCAAGAAAAACAAAAGATGTCACCACAACAACAGTCAAACTCAAGCTCAAGGAAAGGAGTGTGCACAAGACAGAAAAGTGAAGAGGATATTCATCTGACCCTGAAGAACGGTACTGCTCTCAGACCTGTGCAAAGAGAAGAGTTACAGATATAATCATCTGAAGAACAGGAACACATTCATAAATGCATGTATTACATAGATACGTTTTATATCTAAAAATGTATTATATATACATTATGTAGGAGAAAAATCAGCAGATTATGTATTTCAAGGATACTTTGGTGACTAAATTTCTATGACACCAAAGACGATATCCCCTCTAAAGCCAAAAACCTTCCTGCAAATTAATGCATAAAGCACACATCTTAATGACAAAATACAGAATGTTGTATCCCAATCTTTAAGGAATGGTTAAAACAACTGCTTAGGGCCTCAGAAGGTAGAAGGAAACAGCTCTGAAAGAGTGCAGTTTGGTTTAAACCTATTAAATATTATAAATAGAGGCTAAAAGATATCCTTAAAGAAGTCTCAGATTTTATAATAAAATCCTATTATCTGTACTAATAATTAGGTAAAACCTAATTTTAATGTATATCAGAAATTACACTCAAATCTATTGACTAGCATGCTGAAGCCTTTTGACGTACAAGATGCCAGAGGACAAAAGGTTTTTATTCTTTCATTTGTGCTATTGCCTGTAATAGCTTCCAACCCTTCTGAAGAATCCTCTTACTTCTAACAACAGCAATCAGTAGTACAGCTGAAGAAAGACCCAGAAATCGAAACAACTTTTTCTTCCTAAGCTAACTACCTCCCTTGGGTCATCCGACACATCTCATATTCCCCCAGTCTTTGAAGTTGTTATCTCTTCAAGAGAAGGCTGAGAATTTATTTTTGTGAGTTTGTACAGTGCTGAGCACACTACTGCCACCTAACAAGCAAAGCATAAAAGGAAACTCCCAAAGATATATGCATATTAAAAAAGAATCTGGTTTTACTTTATATTTAAATATCTTTTCATTGCCTGAAAAGAAGCATCAGAATTAACTCCGTGGGGAACCGTTGCTCAAGCTGCCTTGCTGCTGTATGCTCAAGCTGCCGTGTCAAAGATTCAACCACATTCCCACTCAACATCACTGATAAAAGTTCCATTTAAGTCACCAGTTCATTACGATCAACGTTTTACAGGGTAATTCTGAAAGAAATAAAGGGGGTGGGAGTGAGGGATTTTCATAACCAAGCTCCATGTTGTTATGTTAGAAGGTCCTTAGAACTGCTTATTAAAACTATTCATAATTTGTATTCTGCATTTGGAGAAAAACAGAAGCATCATTTTACATAATAAGGAATGAAAGAACTTACTGATGATCGGAAGCCCAGCGCAATGCTGCTTGAACTTGAGTAATGAACCTATCCAAAAAACTGCTAATTGAGGGATGCCTTGAAGGAAGCTGAAATTTCAAAGAATTTTTCTCTTTCTCCAGTTCTTCCAGTTTCCGCCTAAATTTATCAGCTAGAAATTTAAAACAAACAAACAAACAACAAAGCAACAACAGTTACTTAACAGTGACAAAAAGGGTCCATTTTACCTGAAGAAAAAAGGTTAATCAACAAAAAAGTAAAATACGCCTCAGACTGTACTTCCCCTTCTGATAAAATGTATCTGTCTGTTTTGCTCAAGGATGAACTTCTAAGACTACAATGAAAAACATCAGATAACCAGGACGCTAAGCTACTTTCTCCTATGACAAGGACAAAACCATGGGCTTTCCAGCACTTGCACAGAGTTTTAATTTAGTAAGGCTCCAAAGAATCTTCTTGAAGTTGTCATCTGTGCTCTTTTCCTAGAGTAACAGCTCTGATCTCAATTCTAAGAAAACTCCCACTCTTCACTGCTCCAGCTCTAAAACAATCTTAGATGACAATTACACATCTGAAATCTGATCTTCAAAAAATTTGCATTACTACCAGGTCAAGAAATGAAGAATCACAATATCTCAGGAATACATTTCAGCAGAAAATGTACATGCAATTATAGCAATTAAACAATTATTATAGGCTCTCCTGAATTATGCTCACTTTACCAACCAAAAAAAAAAAAAGTTACTTTCAACTTTAAATAACAGTGTTCCTTAAGCGAGTGCTTTGACTCTATCATAACTCCATAAATTTCTTAGAGTAAACTAAGTTCTTACTTTGTTTTCCTTCCCCATGTAGAAACAAAGGATCAAAGTTCCAATCACAAAGTATTATTTCTGGTATGTATATTCTCTGTTCTCTAGTATACCAGCAAAATCACATACATGATAGACAACAAGCCTGGCTGGTATAAGCCAGAAGATCTTTGATGACACACAAATCAGAGTTTTGAGCTTGCCTGCACACAAAAACCCTTTTCAGTTCAGTACTTCCCTCATGACTTTGATGCCTACAATTTTGCGTGATTAGCATTCCTTCCCTTCTAATGTTTTCAACCTAACATATTACTATCAGAGTAACATCCATCCTTGCATGCTTTTTTTGCTTATTTTCTTTCTTTATACTCAAAGGGGTTTTAAGAAAACGGGCTCCTTGCATGTACTTGTGTGAAATGATCCATTTTTACAATAATCTTTCATTAGTATCTGTTCTTCCTTCTGCTTCTGAGCTGATGGGGTGGAATAAAGGCATAGGAAGTACTAACGAGACTACCTCTTCTTCCTAAAAGTCATCATCCCTGGCCAGGAGCTGGTTCCAAGCTTCTTAAACTCACGTTATTGTTATTATTTGGGAGCAAAATGCTGCCAGAAAGCACGCAAGTTACTGCGGGGTCCCAGTCTTGGCCCAACAACCACATGTACATATTCGTCCAGCAAAGGAGAAATACTTTTTCAGAAGTGGAGACAAACCACATCTGTCGTGCATTTCTCAGGGATCACAGCTGAACAGATTGATCCTGTCCCTATCGCCAGAAGGAAACTGGAATTTGAGTCCACATAACACTCCTGAGCCCATCCTTTGACCAGAAAAGAAACACATCAGCATTTGCATTTCACATGGAAATTCAAACACAGATATCAAAAATAGCACAAAAATAGTTATAAACAGAAAAGTAAGGGTTGGGTTTTGACCAATGACCACTGAACACCAAAGCACATGGAAACATCTCCTTCTACTCAAACCCTTCAGCGCTGGGATTCCTGTGTTACCCGAGCAGGAGTTACAGCAACCCTCTGCAGTCATTTAACGATGTTGTCATTCTCCTTTGACATAATTGTGGGTCACACTGTGTTTGTGCGTCCAGTTGTTTCATCGTTCTACTCCTACCCATCCTGGCCCTAGAAACTGGCTATTTTGGGAAGGAAAACAGATGATGGGATCATCCACATGCTAATTCACTGTGCCTCTCATTAATTCTTGGCTGCAACCTGCTTTATATATTCCAGCCTACACAGCGGTCAATTAGTTTCTACTAACAGACATTTCTAAATAATTAGTTCCACTGCCGTTTTATAAGTACTATTGCTGGCCATATCTGCTTGTTACCTCTCAGCACTAAATGATTTTTTGATCCTTTCAATATTACGGTTAGGGGTTACATATCAAGAGACTCAGCGCCACCGAGGCGAATACCAGCGCGCTTGGCTTTTAGGCTCCTCTCCTGGAAAGGAGACCCCTTGGTTTGACCTGGCTGATGTGCATGAAGAGACTAAGGCACCTCAGTGCCAGCTGCAGAGCAGGGAACCACGTCAATAAGGCTCATCTCAGTCCAGCTTTCAGCACCGCAGCTCAAGAGAGATCTGGATCAAGCAGAAGGAAGGGAAACAATCAGAAGTCTAGCAAATAGGACATGGGAAAAACAGCACAATAAGTAGGAGTCCTCAATCTACTGGAGATAAAGACTGAGTGGGGTAACTTCTAGTACTGCTAAACAGCAGGAAGCTGCAAAGAAAACAGTAACACAACGCTCTTCACCTCTCCACAAAATTTGAGGAAACCTCAGTAATAAACTCAAGTTGCAGCACAGGAGGTGAGAAAAACATGAAGATGTAGCAAAGCACTAAAACCTAACTGCTTGGGACAGACAGGAAATCTCCACTAGTGTTGATTTGCAGGTCACATAAACCTCTCTCAGGAATAGCTCTGGCATAGTATTTTTAAGGCCAGTGAGATCAAAAATATTCTCCTGAAATACCATCCCACCATATTTTCTAGGATTATTCAACCAAGAAACTGACACAGAAGGCCTTTGCTATTCGTAAGGCATCAGACTCAAGTACAACACTTGCTTTTACTCTCATTTTAGTTCTGTAAGCACATAATTCCAGAAAAGAACTTTACAGAATTTCACTGGCAGACTGAGGCACCAAAAGAAACCACACACACAGTCGGATAGCTCTAGCACACAAAGGCTTAATACCTTGTTGCTCTCTCACACTTCACTTGAAAATAAGTCATTTTACACACAGCTTGCAGGCAAAAGGCAATCTCCCCACTTGACAAAGTTCTTAAAGGAAGGAACTTCAAAGTATGCATTCAATACATACGGTTTTACAAATGATCATTTGGAATAAAGTTTAATTCTCTTTACCAGTCTTTTATTTCCCTGTATTCTGTTGCTATCTTGCTGCCTTGCAGCGCCTCTATGAATACCATAGACAAAGCTTCTACTCCAGTGCAATCAACAGAAGTTAACCCTTAGACTACCCTCCATCACAGTCCATTACTGCATGGTGCACTTCACATATCCCACTCAATTTAAATGCAACCCAGAATACAGGCCTGGAAAATGCTGACTAATGGCTGTTTTCAATTAAACAGTCAGAGAACTGCATTACCTCCAAAGACCATGCTTTGTAATAGCTTTGAGCAATGGAAGCAATTTCCGTAATTTTTAATTGACTATATGAGAACATCTGGCTACCTCTCTGCTTTTTACAAATTCTCATATTGGTTTTATTCCCTTGAAGACAATGTTCATTTTATCAGAACTATTTATCACCATTTAAAAAACATTTAAGAAAATCATAATAGAGGGTAGAAGCTCATTTGCTACACACTGCATATATTTGTTTATTTATATCTGTTCTTTGCTGATAAGTAGGAAGATGATCAATCGTGCTATTCTACAAAATGTTTAACATTAAGAAAATGTTTCTTCAGTTCAATTAGAGAAGGCTATTTGATCCTGCTCTAAAAATGTGAAGGACCTAAAGCAGGATTTGTGTAGGTTTTGCACGTGTAAATCACACCTTACAGCACTAAAATCTTTTTCTTACCTGAAGGATACTTAGTGTTTAACATTAACAGTTAAATGGAGCAGTGATTTATGGACAGGAGCCATAGGACTCAGTGGGTTTTCTGAGGGTGTACGTACAATTGCTTTCAACCTCAGCAGTTGAGAAAGAAGCCACAAAGCCAGAAAGGTTCTTTCAGCACACCTCTGGGAAAGGAGGGGGGTGAGAGCCCAGCACGAAATGTCAGAGTCCTGGCTCAGATGATTAATTTCTTAAGTTACTTGGCCAGTCTTAGAAAAATTTTGCCTTTCCATGTTCCCTTCTCCTTATCACCTGCAATGATGTAGGCTGAACTGTCCTCATAGCTGTTCTTTCTGAGCTGAGCTTATGACACGTCAAGAGTATCCAGATAAACCTGCATCACTATTTCCTGTAACATGACTATCCTGGAAGCAAAGTAGTAGTACTAGTAGATATGCCACTATCCTCTCACAGAGGAACCTCCAATTGAGGCCAGAACCTAATTGTACTAAATTCAGCCAACAGGAAAGGAAAAAAAAGAAAAAAAAAAAAATCATACTCCATTAAATTTACAATCCAAAAAAAAAATGACAGCCAAAAAGGCAAATGGAGAGGTCAAAGCATCAGACATATAGTACTGGTGAAAACGAAGTACGATACTTTCAGTGAACCAGAAGCAGCTTAATCACCACTGCTCTTAATCTGATACTTCTGTAAAATACTGAATTTTTACAGTATTTTGAATGCCAACACTTTTAATAGTAAGAGCTTTATAGGTATTTTACACTGCAGCATAAATTAGTCACTTCCATCATTTTCTAAATGTTGTAGTAATTACATTTTTTTAAGTGCCTGGCATGCATAACAGTTGTTGAAGTACTGGACAGTTTTCTGTTTGTGACAACCCCTTATTCATCTTTATAATTGCACTAAAACAAAGGTACAATTCTATACAGTGTCTACCCTACATAGTCCTTATCTTCAGATTTGCTGCATTTGTAAATTCCTTCGAACAGCACAACAGTTTTAATGCATAGGCATATTCTGAGACATCATTTCTAGTTTAGTCAAGTCACAATACAAAAAAAACTGTGCCCTGTTGACTGTTTGCTTTTCATGTTCTTTCATAAATATCAAATTTCCAATGAAACCACTGAGATGCCTACATTTCCAGGATGACTTTACAGTAAAAATAATCTACGATAACATCAAAAGATACATTAAAGGAAAAAAACAAGCTGATTGCTGGTGCACTTTATCTGATATCAACATTATT